TTAAACTCCCAGGGTTCCATTCTCCCACTGGCTTTCCATTGCTTTAAGGTGCATTTACGATGGCAGCCAAGGGCCTTGGAATCTGGCTACGGTTTCCCTCTCCAGCTTCATTTCCACTTTTCTTTCAAAGCCATCTGCTGTATTTATAGCTCCCGAGGACTATGTGTTTCTCTGGCTTCTGTGCTTTTGTCACATAATTCCTTGTGACTAAAGGTCCTTGAAAAGATCTGTCTTGTCTTGGATCTTACTTTCTGAAGATCATATCTGCAGAGATACGAGGACCCTTATTTTGTTCAGCTGGGGATTTAGCCGTCAGAGCACCTGTAGCTCCTGCGCATGCGCCTGGCATGGAGCTGATGGTCGAGCGCTGCAGAGGCAAGAGGAGCGTTCATTTCACCCTTAAATCTCAGGGCTACAGTAAGATCCAGCCAGAGCCCATGCTCAATGGATATTAGCGAATTAGCGAACGTAGCCGTTTCCCCAGCTTCAGACAGGAATTAGGGTGGAGCCTGAACTCCTGGACGAACTTGAGAGCCATATCGTCCTCTTTGGAGGTGGGGGATGGATTTCCTCGCCTACTAGTTACTGTCTGGCAGCCCCATCCCTCCCCCATCAATGCACAAGTGATGTTATTAGGCGATGCCATCCTCCTGTTGGCTTACCAGAGGCCCACAGCTTGTGTGTCCAGACGTGAAATGATGAGTTGGGCTAACATGATTATCCCCTGAGATCCGGGAATTGGGAACCATACTGAAGTGATTAACAACACAAGAGCGTAGGTTAAAAGGATGTATGGAGAACTCTCAAGAAATAGACCGCAGTGACTGCAGAGTGGCCAGGGCACACTGTTCCCATCAGTCATAGGCTGGTTACAGTACCTTGGTTCCCACACCCACCAGCTCCGGGCATAGCCTGGTTGGTACCTGTGTACAGAAGGGATAGGTGCATCTGGTGTACAGCAGCCTTGGCAGGCAGAGGAAACCATGCGAGGGAGTGGGAACAGGAAGGAGAGGGAGGATACAGACTCCAGGAGAGGAAACCCCATTCCCAGAGGTCCCTGGGGGCTCATGCATCCGGGTCTAGTACCTGCCCAAGGTCATCCTACCATGACCCACTTTCCTTGAGACAATTTGCAATGTAATTAGACTAAAGCTGGAAGTTACAGGGAAAGACAGCAAGGAGTAAAGCAAGACAGTGGTATGGCTGGTAGCCTCAAACAAGGGGGGATTCTTTTTGTTTTTTTAAATAAATGTTATTGGTATATTTTAGATTCATATAATGATGACATTCATCATAGAGAATTTAGGGGGTTTGTGGGTTAGCTCAGTTGTCTAAAGTGCCTGCTTGGGCAACCCCAGTGAGGCACAAGTGACCTGTGGGTCCATCCCCAGCACCACCTGCTGCACAAGACCTGCCCTTAAGGCAGCCTGAGCCAGCCAGCCAAAAAAAAAAAAAAAAAGAATAAAAGAATCCATCATAGAGAATTTGTACCTGTACATAATATAACCTGATTCTTTTTCTTCCCATTTCCTCTGTTCAACCCCTTCTCCCTATTTACAAAAACTTTGTTTCCACTTTTTCCTTCTTTTCTGTTTTTAAAAAAACTTTCCCCTTCTTTCAAGAGGAAATTCTCATGTGAAGATGCAAATTAGGAATTAGGAATGAGGCTTTTGCTACTTACCCTGACCTCTGCTCCAAAGGCTTCTCAGAGCTGGGCATGGCAGTGCACACCTGTGGTCCCAGCTACTCATGAGGTGAAGCAGGAGGAGCAAGCTTGTGGCCAGCCCAGCAACTTCTTAGCAAGATCCTCTCAAAAAATAAGAAGAAGAAAAAAAAAAAAAAAGAAAAGAAAAAAAAAAAAGAAAGAAAGAAAGAAAGAACACACGTCTGAACTCCAGTCACGCCGCAACATCTCGTAAAAAAAAAAAAAAAAAAAAAAAAAAAAATCCAA